TTAAAGATGCAGAGGGGTCACTAAACAAAAGAAGAAAATGTGAAAAAAAAAGATATATTAGGTGGAAAAACTGTAAACAAACACCTTCAGTAGCAATCTTTTGGAAGCATTCCTTGGATAGAAATTAGATTCTGATACTTTACACAAAGGAATGATTCATTAGTTCCTTAAAATAACATAACACCCCTATATGTATGTTTCACAAACAACAAGTAATATCAAAAGGATTAAAGATACAATCAGAACAAAAATGTATTATTATTTTTTTGAACTTTTTAGTATATCTTCCAATTTTCTACTTCTTTTGATAGCGAGAAACTATCGCACGGACAGCCTCTAAAAACGCTGGAATCCGAATCGGTTGCCCAATCCCCGACTCATCCACGATATGAAAGGGGTTCTTCATTGCGTACTCCACATAGGCAGTATGAAGTTCTCTAAAAACGGCACTGCATTCCCGCGTATGTATGTCAGAAATAAGAACAAATTTGACAAGTGAGGGGGTTTCATAGATGTGAATGTTGTGCTCTTCGCACTCAATTAAGGTCATACCAGCGTTATCAACCGAATTCGAGTTGGGTGTCAGCTCCTGCGACATACCAAAAGTTGAGAAGAGGACGCTTGATATTGTAAGTTGAAGGTCCGGCCTGGCGCCCAGCTCGCCGATAAGTTCAGGTTTGGTAAAGCTGACCTTCGACATGAGCTGGCCCGATTGATTAATGAGCCAAAAGAGATGAATCACCATTATAAAGAATATGATCTTGTAGACATACACTCAGATTGCTTTTCCTTTATGTTAATAAAACTCTACCTTTATCATGCAGCATAGGGTATACACTTGTATCAAATTAAAAAAAGTAGAATAATAATAATATAATCGTTAAATGATGGAGTGGTGTATTTTAATCCTGCACTTGCGCTTTGAGGCAACTGGTGTTTGGGAAGCGGTAGAAAAAAAAAGCTTTAAACGTACGTCTCGGGTCATGATTATGTGATGTTATTTTGGCTTTTATTTATCTTCTTTACTATTATTGAATTCGCCCATGTATTCTGAAGGCTGCATTTTAACTACTAACTCATCGTTATTAAGGTTTACACCATTACGTTTGTATGGAGATAACCTAGTCAGAATATGTTGCATTTCTTGAAAAACAATCGGTGGAAAGCAACACACCCAGTTTGATCAACTTAGCGTAAAATACAAAAGAAGGAAGCGAAGGCTGACACCAGAAGTAAGGATCCGAATAGAATGGACTATTATTGAGGTAGCTTTCTCCTTACGAAGTGTTGATATTTTCTTCTGGTTATTATCCCTGTCAAGAGCAAATATCCAGACAAGAAAAATGGAAGTTCATTCCAACTCATTTAGTCTTACCGCTCCATATACACGCTATAAACATTCTTACCATCGCATCCCGAAACAAGCCACTGACTCTCTTCTCGATCTTTGGATTAGTCTATAAACGGACTTATATCAGCATAAGGCGCTTTTCGATGATGGGAGATCATCTGTGGAATCCCCAAACAGACCATAGTTTGGAAAGCGCTGGCACATGCCTACCATGTCGGCCTTTCGGAGTAGGTGTCTGGCCTCCATCAAAGCCTCGCGCTCAGCTTCCAATGACAGCAATATTCGCGCACGATCATAACTGGTCCAGTCGTATGGCTCCTCTGGATCCGGCGCATCTTCGAACCGATCGCCATCGACTCCTTGGGGAGATGGATCGATCGCGAACATAATATACAGCGTAATGCACCGAAGGAATTCATCCGTTCGCTCATAATAGACCACTGGCGGGATCCAGGACGGCGCAAAAAAGTTATCGCAGCTCACATCGCAACCCTCACACACCGCACGTATCGCGCACTCGGTTGCCGTCTCCGACGACGAGGCCGGGGTATAAGGGAAATACATCCGGTTAGAACGACGCTTATCCGATAAATCACGAATTAGCGCACATTTCCGACCGCGTATCAGAATACCACCATAATTATACGCGATATCAGATAGGTTGTAGGGTGGTAAACTGTCTACCGAGTCCCCAACCGTGATCGAACTCTGCGTCTCTTTTGGAGTTAACGCGCGCAGCGTGTGGGGGTGCAAATGCGTCCGACCTGGCTTATCCCGTGCAAGCGAGGCCGTCAGCTCTACCGCTACCCCTTTTTCGTTGGTTGATTTCACACGCCGCAAAAGGTCCGGCGCCGTCTCTCGCATGCAGGACTCTAGCCCCTTTACCACCACCTGCCCCTCAACGGTGCCCACAACCCCACGGGCCAGGTTCATAATACGACCCTCCACCAGCAGACGGACGGCGCTCGTCAGGTGCGGAAGCCCGGAAAGGCCAAAAAAGGGGGATTGCTCGTTTTCAGATTCCCCCTCGCATTCGCTCTGGACATCGGGGTCGTTCGCCTCGGCCGTGGCGGCGGCGGTTTCGCCGGGCTGCTCGCGGCCCCCGCTCTCGGCAAGGCCGTCGTCGCCGGCATTCGGCCCGTCGTCCTCCAACACGCAGCGCCTCACCACCTGCTCCACACACTTTGTCTGGGCACTCAGTACAAAGTCGATTCGGTACACCCGCGGAGCCGAAAGGCGTCGTGCGAGATCAACCTCCGTCCCGTCCGCCACCACCCCCGCGTGGTGCGCGATCGCGGCGAAGAGGTCTGGCCCCAGGTCCTCGGTGAGAACCCGGCGTTTAAACAACGGGCCCGCCGACTCGGCCTCCGCCAGCCCCGCCGACCATCGCCCGCGGTCGGCCGCGTTGTCCAGCAGCACGACCAACTCCGGAGCAGGGTAAAGCCCCGGCGCGGCGCCCTCCTCCTCCCTCGCCGCCCGCAGGACCCGCCCGCAGGCCTCCAGGGAGGACGGCAAAGCCAGCACCACCCGCCCCACGAGCCGGTCCCGGTGGCCGAGCCTCTTCTCCCCCATTAACGCGTACGCCAGGGCGAGCGGGGCGGCCACCCCGACGGCCACCAACGTCGCGTTGTGGGGGTTGAGTTTGCTGATGACGTTGCGCAGGCGCTTTAGAACGGCGTCCACCGCGAAGGCGTGGAGGGGGGAGGTGTCCAAAAGGTACACGGCGTGGGTCGTGTTCGGCGCGGCGCGGAAGACCACCGCGCTGAGGTCCTTCCACTGCACGCACGGGTGCTGGCGGGAGGACTGGGTCTTCAAAATCATCAAAGGCGCCTCAGGGGAAAAGCACCCCGAATACCCACCCCGGGCGTTTGTGAAGGCAAAAAGCCGGACGCTTTGGTCCTGCGCGGTGCCCAGGACGTTCGCCCGGTGATGCTTCTTGTCATTGCGACTCATGCGCGATAAGGCGCCGATGGGTTCGGAGTACTTCGAAAGTTATCGAGGAATAAGTTTATAAAAAAGTATACAGAAACCCCAGATCAGAGCCAGGCGACTTTGAGAGTGTGCGCGCTCAAATTATGAAGTTAGATGACTTGCCGGTTTCCCTTTTATAGGGATGTTCGCTAAGAGTTAAAAAAAAATCATCATAAGCAAAGGTAAGTGAGTTTTCGTTTTAAAAGAATACAATACAATTGTTCGGAATATATATATGCAATGTAATAGTAGTGAGGAGTGGAGGAATGTGGAAGGAACTCGTTTTCCTCCTGATGTTTTGAAGATCTATAAATTCCAAAGATCTAAAAACGCAAAGATAAAATAAAGATAATAATAACAAAGGTGTTAATTAAAATATTTTCCATTCATCAACAATTCAACAAATTCAGCAACAAAATAAATTGAAATGAGTATTTTTATAAAAAGAAAAAGAATTCAAACCCCCCTCAAGTACCGCTACGGCGGGGAGCATAAGTCCCAGCTCCTTATGTGCAAAAAGAAACCACTTAGCTCCCTGTGGTCCACGTACATGGGATATCGTGCAGTGGTACAGAAAAAGTTCAATATGGCCCTTCCAAAGTTTCTTGGCTAAACACTCTCGGATGTCTGCTGTGTAACTTATGAAAGAGACTTAGAACCTATTATGGAGCCTTTGGAAATATCTCTATTGCAGCAATCGCCGATGACATATTTGGCTAGTTGTTTCGGACCATCCATCAACTCTACCAATTTACCATCTTTGAATTATGATAGTTTGCCATAGTATTAAATTGTTTCAGGCATTCAATATCGGTTACAGGAAATAAGATTTAAAATCTTTTAGAAGTATGAAAGATAAAAACAACGTATACACAATAATGAATTTCAACTATCGTATTTCACATCCGATTCTTGTGTTTAAATTTTGGTATTCTTTCGTTTCCGTTGGTAGGTTTAGAAAACATTTATAAATAAATGCAAATTATTAAATAAATGAAAGTATCATTTCTGTTATTGTTAAGATAAAACTAAAAAGCTCTGCTATAGTATTTTATGTATCCTTACATAATTTTAGCAAATAAAATTATCTCATTTTTCTACCCTAATTATATAGTTATGCGCATAAACCTTTTCCTTCATCTCAGCTTATCTCTTTGAATATTCAAAACTGAAATAAATTAACTTACCCTTTTTTGCTTCTACCATGATGGCGAAATCCCGAAATCCCTTGTTAAAAATATTCCGGTTTGCTTTCATGTGAATAAAGGTGTGAATTGCACACCTTTATATATGGTTGACGAGAAGAAGCGTAAGCCAGGTTTGGGTATGTGATATTAGTTGATGGGCGTCTTTAGCACATAGATACTTTTGCACTGTTTCGACAATTTTTGCCTGCTGATCACTCAGATTAATCATAAATGCAGCAGCGATGTCATACAATCTGTGGAGTGTCTCTAGGAGATGCCAACGCGGTGGAGAGACCTCGGTGATACTAAAACCCAAGTAAATACATGCCATCACCTTCGGGTACGTGAGCAGCAGCAGCGGCTGGACATGCTCAGCGTAGTAAGGAAAAATGTATGGTTGTGGATGATAGTTAGCGTAGTTGCTGAAAAAACGCATATGAATAGCCTCAAGCTTCTTTAAGTAGAACATTGACGCTTCGGTGGATTCCGCTTTAGAATTTCTGCGAATCTTTGGCTTTCCCATGTGCGTGGTATAGGCTGGTGCCTTACTGTTAAGCAGATCAATCTCCCCTGAAAGGTTCCAAGAGGAACCCTCAAAACTGCTAGGGGAAAAAAAAATGTTAGTATCTGTAGTGGTAGAAATGCTGTCAATATCATGGCTCGAACCGAAGTTTGTGGTATAGTCATTGGCTTGGGGGAAGGTGAGGTCACTTTCAGATACACTCAACAGGGCCTTGGCAATCCTCACATCTGTCTTTGGCGGTTGTAAGTTGAAGTCTGTACTGCCCTCATACTCCTCCGCAATAAACTCAGGCGGGTTGGGGATAGAATTTTGTTCTGACTTTGACTGGGTTTGCCACCGCTCCATGCCGTCGTCAGCACTGGGAGTACATTGAATAACACTTACGTCTTCTCTTGTATGGACTGTGTTGGAGATATCTTTGACTTCAGCATCCAAATTTATAATCGAAGTGCTCAGAGGAAATTGGTGTGGTTGAATTGACTTTCCGCCTCGATATTGGGACAGTAGTTGGTCAATAAAAAAACTAGAAAAGATTGAATACTGCCTGCGATGACGCTCAACCTCTTGTGGAGTCCGACCGTACATATCCAAATCCCACTTGTTCTTCTTTATGCGCTCAAATATTTTTTGCATACTTTTAATATCGGGTGGAAAGTCGAGGAACTCCGTGCTCGCCGAAATAAACTGGTCCAAGCTAATAGAGACGCTCTTGGCATTTTTGTTGTGAAGGCTAGTATGTAGAAACAGCAATGCGCCTGCCATCGTCTCAGCATCCTTCGCTGTAATCACAAGTGGATTCTCCTTGGCGTAAGCCTCACCGAAAATGGTCTGAATTGTTTCCCACACCTGTATCTCAAACATAGGCGCTTCCCACGACACGAACTTGCAGAGAGTATCGCGAAAGGCGATGTCGATGGGAATCTCTCGGTAATGAAATAAACTAAAGTAATCTCTTAAAAGCAGATTCACATCATTGCCCTTCTTGTTAAGACTACTTATAATTTTGTTGAGAGCATCACGTGAAATACCGGGATATTCATACAAAAAACGCGCGAAAGCTGCGTAACTAGAACTCCCTCCGGACACTGTCTCTCCCTGCTGTTCTGCTTCGCTCGGGATCTGCACCGGTAGACATTTACGGGACTCTAGGAAATTCTTTGCCTCTTTCCATTTGCCGCTGTTAACCATGCGTGCTGCCTTTTGAAACATACACTTGTTGTTTATCTGGTAATGGAGGTGTTTCCAGTGGTACTGTATACAACTTTCTTCGAACGGTGTAGCCGTATTGGGGATCAACTCCTTCGTCTGTGAAGTGTCCTCGAGGTGTGAATACTTTCCATTCGAATCAATATTTACGTTGGAGGCAGGCATCAAATGCATATGAGGTTGCGAAAGATTCTCGTCATCATAACTAGCCTTGAGAGTAAAAAACATATCAGTGGTGGTTGATAGATTACAGAATTTATCTACTGAGTCCTTTTTCTCACAAGAAAACGGATAAGTCCCAGCTAAGGTCGTGTTTGGCGTCCTATCGATTCCACTGCAACATGCATTATTTTCCATTACCAGGCTGGATATGGTGGCCTTGGGATCCTCAGCTATCCAGAGGTACAAAGAGTCCGTAAAAATATGCATGATCGTAAAGCACTCAGTTCGTAAAAGCTGCTTCTCTTCCTGACTAAGCTGCGGACCTTCTCGATTATCAGGGGAAAAATCCAAGTAGACAATCTCTACGACAAAATCAACAAGTGATTCCACCATATCGCCATTAAAACCATCCGCACCAATGGCGGGATTGCAATCATAATTAACAAAAAATGAAATGAGCAAACTTGGTAAGGAAAATAAATCTCGTAGCATAGAAAGTACTGCGTATTTTTGTCTAAAATCACAATGTTTGGACTTGACCAATGGAAAGAGAAAAGCCACCATCATGGCATGCAGTTCCCGTCCAAGGTGATAGTGGCACTTAATCAGCAATAGCTTAAGAATGTTGAGAGCGGCATTAAAGAGCAAAAACGGGGTCGTGGCTGACAGATTGCGTACCAAGCAGCCGATGAGCTCAAAACCGCAGGCTGGCAAGACCAGGGCGATCTTTATGGCACAAGGGTGCTCCTCCACACAGTTGGCCACGGGGAACTCCGCCAGGACCAGCTCCAACAGGTCCAGGGCAAGCTGTCTGTGACGCAGCCATGCGCCGCTCTCTTTGGGGGCCCCAAGACAGGGCTGGGAGGCCAGGTCGCAAACCACACGGAGAAGTAACAGAATGCCTTTTAGGGGTGCAGGAAGCCCCTTGTTACAAGGGCGTAGGGCCTGTGCACTGAGCCTCAGGGCCAACGCCCTTACACTAACAGGGAACAGACGACAAGGATCATAAGAGAGGGGGGGGGGAGGCTGAGAAGACCCCTCTGGAGCGGTCGCTGAACGTGGGGTTTCACCCCACGCGGGCGCAGAGGTGTCAACCACGTCGATGGGCATGTAGGACGCGTCGGGTGGGACGTGAGTAGTGTAGTCATCCAGAGGGGCTGTGGTGGAAAAGCTATAAGACGGCGTTCTGGAAGACGCCTCCTCGGAAGTGGCCGCGGATGGGGATTCCTTCACAAACCGACGCGTCACAGACAATACACACAACTTCAGAACCTTCTGACAGCGCTCACGAATCGATTCCTGATATGTCCACGTCGAGACCATGAATACCGAACGAAGGATCCGTGTTATGGATCGACCTTCAAGAAAAAACTGCCCATCGCCATTGAGCAACCCTTGCAGTCGGAAAAGAATGCATAACTGTAAATTTGAATCAGAGGTGACGCACAGAAACTCAGTGAGCACCTCAAACACACCCACACCGACGCTACATGAAACACTATTTGGTGAAGTCGAAGCTTCAGTGCCTTTCATTTCCGAGGTGCGTGTGTAAGGATGCATAAATATTTTTGTGGGAACGTTGAGGTTAAGCTCTTGGAATAACAACAAATTGTTCAAGGCTATAAAAGCCTTTTCTGAAAGCTTTCTTTTTTTAAAGTAAAAAGCGCTCAACACGGTGCTCCATAGTGCATCACTTTGAAGGAAAGATATGTGGTTGCTGTCCTCATTATGCAAATCGTCTATATCCTTATCTATATTGCTAGGACCCTTCATCCGATTTGCATCCTTGGCAAAGCTTACCGAGGCGAGCTTAGATATCTCCTTTACCAAAACTGGTGCAAGTCCGAATGAAGAACGGTAGAGAACCCTATGTGCACGCTGCAACTCCATATAAAATTCACAATCAATCGAACCTGCAGAGTAAGTTATTGTGGAGAAAAGTTTCTTAAGCAAATTGGAGCAGGCCTCTATCACGTCCTGACTGTGGTCTTTTAGCATGGTAACTAGTGCTGAAAAGATAATAACAACAAAAACATGCGAGAATAAAAATGCAATATGCTTCCTAAGTAAAAAGTTCAGACACCTAAACGTGATATCAATAGCTATGTATAACGTAAATACCTCTGTGGTAATTTTACTCCTTGTTTTTTCTCTTGTACTATCCTAAAAAAAAAAGGAAAAAGTAACAAGAAATATTTGTTTAATAGATTAATATGAAACATTTTTTACTGAAATTGAAAACTATGCACTACTGTCTGATTGCTATACTTTCATAAAAAGTCCATTATTTCCTTAGTAACGTTCAAATCTTACCATTTACAGTAACAAAATAGCAAAAATCTGAGGATTGATATTCTATCTGAAGTACATACATCTAGTAAATCTTATTGATGTAAATATGCAAAAAGAATAAAAACCATTTCTCCTTACGAACCTATTAGATTCCACAGTATCACCTTCTATACACCCTCATCCGGCCTTAAAGCTAAGGTCAACGAAACGAATGGTAGAAACTGCGACAGGTAGGGTCCGATCAAGAACTCAGAACTGCTTGGTAAAATCAAGGGTACGCACTCTTTCAAAATTTAGGCTGAATTTTATGAAAAGATACTTAGACATAACCGTACGCTTACCTGTAACACCATCCTTAAATACTCAGCAAATTAATGGTTCGTTCCTGCAAGGGCATTATTATTGGAAACGGATCTCATGAAGTGCGCTAGAATAGAACCACGTAATTAACGACCTCCTTAATCAACATTAATGGAGTGCACGTATAAATGTACAAATACGACAATTTTTCGCTTTTGATGCGTCTGATAAAACAGATGTATTGAGAATGCTATGCAGCATGTGTCGCTGCTCCAAGTTATCAAATAACATTTGAAAAGGGAAAATGAAAAAATAAAATCATACGCAGTAAATGGAAAAAAAACATAAAACCATTGAAAAGAAAAAGGAAAAAGAAAAGATGGCTACAATCCCCTAAAAAAAACGAGAGACACATGAAAAGAAATAATTTTAAAAAAATCTTTTGAGCTTAGATATTGAGCTATAAGTAGATATATAAATAACTGAATATGCATATGTACGTAGATTAGGATTTTTCATGATAAATTCTATGGAAAGTTTAACTGAAAAAAAGCACCCTCATTCAAATAAACGAATCTTAGAGACTTGATTACTGTCAACACAACATCAAGCCTATTTTATGCCTCAAAAAAAAATCGTCACTATTATTCCACCTCTTTAACTAATATATTCCTCTATGACAACAAACAAACAAACAAAGAAACAATTTCCAAAATAGAGAACACATCCAAGGGTATATAAAATTTCAGAAGTAATATTATCACAAGAATAGAAAATTAACTTTTGAGGCATGATTAAATAATAAGTTAATAATCAATAAATAGAAACTTAGTCTTGGATAGCTAAAGAACAATAAATTTAGTAAATTATTAACATGGGAAAAAGAATAATAATCAAAGCAGGAACAGATAAAAGGGTTTTGAATAAACGTGATCAACACTGCATATCCTTAATTTACAATTTATAAACAGATAAATAAGAAAAAAAGACGAATGTTTTCATTAAGGCATGCGCTCTCTTGGTGTTTTCTGGGATTTGTATTTTATTAAGAAATATGTGTTTCCTATTTACTTTTTTATGATAATATTTCACTGGACCCCAAATGTAATTATACATCTTTTCACCAGTGTCTAAAAGCAATATAACAAACATACAGTAGGATGAAACACAACAGTGATAACTTTTTTTTTCTGATTATTATATTAATCTTTTCTGCGTATAATGAAGAAAAAAAAAGTATTCAAGATTAGGAATAGCATAAAGTGATTTTATTCTGTTGTTGATTCATTTTTGCTCCTTTTCCGAATATTTACGACAATTATATCGAATATAGAGGAGGAAAGAAACCCTATAATATTGTGATTTACTACGTACATAAATAACGAAAGAATAAGAGGGATAACAAGGAATCAGAGGAAAAGTCGCAGAGATGTACTACCAATCACATATATCATACCACCCATACAATCATGGTATGCAGTAAACAATGAGGCCTTCTGTGCGAAACCCGTGAAGGGTACTTATAAAAAAAGCTGCCAATAAAAACAAAAGAAGCACTAATGATTCTTAATATGTTCGCATAAATAATGGGTAAGACGTAACAAAAATCAGCTTAATATAAAAGACACTTCCTCTGAGTTTATTCCCACTAATAATAACCTTCATAAATATTTAAAACTCATGTATAACAATATAGTTAGCATTTATTATACAATGTAATTACAGTTTGACTATTGGTTTTACCAGATATCCTAATGATTGTCAGAATTTATACTAACGAAGTAGGAACAATGATAGGATTTCCTGTTCAAACCCTCCACACGTGGAGGATAATGGAATGGGCGAGGATTTAAAAAAGCAAAACACTATTTCAGGAGAAAATTGTGTCGTTATATTCTCTAGTGAATAAAAAACATGGACTAAAATAGTTCTGGGCTCTACCCCATGATAAATACTCACCGCAAGAGTTCACATAAAACACAACTAACCCTAAATTCCACTTTATTTATTTGACATACATATTAAAAAGTTTCAATATGATAAAAAAAAATTATTCTAATATAAAAGACACATTCACATGACAACGCAACATCTTGCCTCACCTGTTTTTGCTTCAAATGGATGATTTTTATGCTTGTCTGCGTCTTTATTGCAACCTATGAGACCTTCTTTGTCATCATTCACTAAACCGGGTGTATCCCCCTTGCGAAAAGATTGCATTGGTTGGCATAAATTCAAAGGATCGCTATGTATATCTCGAGCACTCAAGTTAACCGATAAAGACGGCAATGATGTGCCACGATGGTCACAACTCAACCTTTCACAATTATGCTTTCCTTCGAGTTTCGAATTTAATAGTTGTGAAGGTAGAGCTGATAACGGAGAAGACGATGGCGTAAGAACACGATGAACATTCGTATCGTTCTGGACTATAGATGCGCCATTAATGTTGGAATGCACCAAAGGTGACACGTGGTCATCAAATGCAGCTTGGGTCGAAGTCGAATTTGGTAACCTAGCATCTTCGGGTAAAGAATTCCCTGTCGCGAGTTTTTTCCAACGGAACAAGCGAGATTTGGGGGTTGATTGCGATGAAATATCTTCAGATTCAATAGTGCGCCAACTGGGCCTTCTGCCCTCCGATGTATTTTTCTCAGCTTTCGAGGGTTTGGTACGGTGAAGAAAATATCTACCATTTCCCTCTGTGTTGCTGTGCACAGCCTGACTATTTGCCTGATGTGACTGAGATTGGCTGTTATCCAAGCATACACACGGTTCTGTCACCCTCAGTTGGGGTTTGGAGCCTTGTAATTTGGAAGATAGCTTCAACGAATCTGACTCGGGGGGTAGACTTGAAATCTGATCAGATCCTTTGATAGCACGTATATTATGTTCTTCACTGAAGATCTGGTCCGGAGAATTATGAAGAACCTTGGAACCAGATTTATTCGGTAACAAAACACACTCAATATCCTCAATCGCCAGTGCAGCAGTGTCTGCTCCAATAAATTGTACACGCACTTTCGGAGACTCACCCGAACGACAGCCTGGGTGGATAGAACTATTTTTAATTAAATTAGATAATGAATTATACTTATCTGTCGCAGCGGAAGGCTGGCTTGTGCGCTGGGAGAAAGATGTATTTAGTGAAGCCAATTGTAATCGCTTCAGCGATGGACTATCCAAGAGCGCCGACCCGGATGCGTCCACAGGTGTCGATCTCACATTATTTAAAAATTGCTTTGAGTGCAGATTATCTCTCTTAATCGTAGAATGGGAAAACGACGTTTGGACCAACTGTAGTTTGCCCTCACTGCTACTTTTGTGGTCCTGCACCTCCCGTGGTTCGCGTTTTGAAAGTAGATTTGATAAAGCAATGCACACCGCAGCAGTCTCCCCTGTCCTCCCCGATAGCGCTGTATCCGCTGTGGGAACAGGCCGGGATTGGCCTCCCTCAACGGGGTCTTCGCCCATCCTGTTCACAGTGCTGTCCCTGTAAATCCCATTATCCTGACAAGACAGGGTTGTGGTGGCGTACGAGGGATGCGTAGGAATTCCTGTCACATCATTAACCGGGGCCTTTTGAGGATTCAAGGGCGAAGAGTGTAACGAGGTGCTATTGTGGCTCATGGGATTCGCTATCGGGGTTTCGACACAGGTTGCCAAGGCGGACGTAGGGATGCTTTCCACAAATGAATTTGCATCAAGACAGAACGAGGACTCACTCGCAATAGAAGGGATAAGGACTTTAAAGCCTCTTTTCTCAGAATCAATGGAATATGAATTTTCTCTATATGAAGTACCCTTAAAAGATTTGATAACATACGAAGAAGAGTGATCATGGCTCTGCAACGTCATGTTTTTTCTGGTGATAAAGGAAGAAACTCGCTGCTTCTCGTTAAACCGAGCACGACGCAGAAACCCCTTGGCATTTCGCTGAGCCGTAGTGGTTGTGGGTGTAGCTAGAACGGCGTCGGTATCCATTTTTTTTTGATAAAATTGGTCTATCGTTGCTGATGGTGTAGATGTCACTGAGTTGTGTAAAATGCAACTAGGATGATACACCCGAGAGAGGGACACACTGTTGAAGCTACTGATGTTATTTAATTCAAGTGAATTACTCATTGGGGTGGAGTTTTTAGAAACCTGGGAACTTAGCGGTGTTGCAGTAAAGTTAAGGGTAGGTGACCCCATCACTGAGCTCACGCTGGCTCGAGAAAGTGCCAGAAGTCTTTGGCTACGCAAGCGGGATTGCTTCATTAATTCATGTTTCTTGTGCCCTGTGTCTTGGGCAGCAGTCAGTGCCCTCCAGAATTCCCCCTCCCAGTACGATTCCTCAACGTCAGGCTTGAATTCAGCCACCTCCGTAGAGATGCCATCCAACTCCACAGGGTCGGGTGGGCAGAGTTTGCCGATTTTATCCGCCTCGCTGACCTCGTTGATGTATCGAAAATTAAAGGCAAAGGGCCCAGTCTCTACGGCAAGAGTAATCGTTGGCACTGGTCGGTTTGTATCAAGTACCTGTTTGCATGTTTTCGCAGGGATGTTGGATAACTGCAACGCGGTTAGTGGTTTATAAATGACATGCTCAGAGGAAAGAGAAAGATGCCTCAGATACGGGACTACGTCTTTTAAGTTAAGTTCATTAACCGAACCTGTAGAAGATGCTGTCGGGAGGCTAGAACTGCTGTTAATCGGGACCTTTTTGGTGCTCGATGCGCTCGTGAATACTGTTGGATAATATGCAGTGGCAAGGACTAGTGGATCTCTGGAGTTTAGACTTGACTCCTTCATTGTCTAAATCGGATTACTCGAATTCGTTTACTTTGCTACTATTATTTTACGCCCCTCTCCTCTTGAGCTTTGAGTAGAAACTGCGTTTGAACACTAGTAAAAAAAACTACACAGCTTCAAACTTTCCCTAACGCGTGAAAAAATATGACAGGAAACGAGAGTTGGAAGGATAGTTGGATGCTTGAAAAAGGTGTTAAAATATCCTTTTAGTGATTTAATTATAGATCTTGAGGGTAAAAAACAATTATTGTTATGATGGTACACTTGTTTGTGGTTCTAGAAAAGTTGGTACCAATCAGATAAGTATTATATCCATAGAATCATAAATAAGGAAAATTCTAAAATGGGAAACAAGAAATTCATTAAATTCTCAAGAGCCACATCTGCATAAGGTCTACATGTATACATATATATATATATATATATATATATATATATGTATGATGGAATGTTTCAAGCTGAAACATGAGTCGTAATGGTGCTATAAAGAGGCAGATGATACCATTTATCAATATAGCACTTATTCTTTACGTTGACTTTATGAAAATTACAGTATAGGTCCAACTGTCTAAAATGCTCCTTGTGGGTCAATTTTTTATCATATACACTTGAAAAGGAAAAAGAAAGGATAAAAATGTCACAACAAACGTATTTTCTATTCACATATCTTATAGTGATCAACTGTGAAGAATAACTTTGCACTAATCGTAAAAATCGAACGACTAGTAAATTGTGTGAATCCAAATCCTATCATCTTTGTTAGGTACATTTATTATCAACGCTTTCGATCATGATATGGGCATGGACGCACTCTACTACACATTTTGCCGCTGCGCTGGAGTCGTGATTCACAAAGTTCCACATCGTTGAACCCGTGAGAACTTGTTTCGAAGATTTCCGAGGCAGAATCATTATTATGTATATTTTGTTTCTGTTGCTGTGGAATATGTTCCCTAGTAACTTGCCAGTCTTTCGAGTGTTGAGATTGTGTGGTAGAGAAAGAAACAGCACACTTATCATTCTCAGAGATGGTGTCCTCCTCGTCTTCTTTGTCAATCTCAAGCTTGTTGTCGTTATTAGGAACCGTAAACAGGTTATTACCGTTTCGGTCGAGAGAGGATAGGATGGTAGAAGGTCGAAGAGCTGCCTCTGCGGAAACATTAGAATGTGAGGAAGTAAGAAGGTCAGGGAACCTTGATACCTGACGGTTCGAATGCGAAGTGCAACGCATCATGGCACAACGCACCTGGGCATCCAACTCGCCCTCTTGATTCTCCAGAGATGTAGGCGCTATGCTCATACATGTCAACAAATTACCTTTTTTCCCCGCCACATCATCCAGCCGTCCGAATTCATGCGTCTTCCCTTCCTCATTGATATGCAAATTCAGAGAAGACATTGGCCCTGAGTGCTGCAAGTGCTCAGACATATACTCTGCATTCCCGCCCGGCATCAAGCTCCGGAGGTGAGATGAAATTACCTGAATAGGCTGCTTCACCACCACGTCCTGAGTGATTAGGTCGCGACACACATGAAGGGCATCCGCGTAGCGCCGCATAAGAATATAAAAACACAACCGCAGCCAATTTCTTTGGGTAATATCACGCCAGGTACATAAAACCCCCTCAACAGTCTGCTCCTCCGCACTGCCCACACGAATTAATCCTCGCAAAGGAGTCACGTCGCCCAACTGTAATGCCGCTAACGCGAGAGCCCGAACGGAGATGTCCTCATTCACGGGGCTGCGATTCGCGCGATAGATCGCCTCTAGGGTGTGATGCGCGTTGGTTTTTAAGGCCACAAAGGATAATTTCAGTAAAAGGGGTGGAGGGAGGCTGGCAGGGTTAAAATGCCCCAAGATGACTGCGATCTGCTGGTAGGCCGCATCGACCGCAGCCACATTCAAAAGGCCATTCATTAAGGCAGGTAACAGCGTAAGAACGGGTGGGCTGCTGAGGTGACAGACATGAGGTCCCAGGATGTACAAAGGTGTCCCAAAGTGTGATTTTGCCAGCGGGTTTATCCCGTGATCGACCGCATAGCAGGCGAAAGCCCATGTATTGAGCGATGCAGGCAGTCTGCAGTGGCTGATTAAGAACTCCTCCCTCAGCGCATTTGCATGGCGCTGACGTTCTGGTGTGACAAGGGAGACCTCGCCCGAGTTGCTATCCTCGCTACATAAGCTGTTTCGATAAGAATAGTACAAAACCAATAACGCGACCATCGGCAACATCTCTGTGGTTTCACGAAGAATATCCATCAAAGAAATTTGAGAAGAATAACCCAAGTACTCTAAAATTACGTCCACACATAACAACCCTCTGGATGGCCAGCATTCTAATTTAGAGGGAACGCTAGTGAAAAGCGAGGGAAAAGACGTATTCACAATTTCCATAAATGCCTTCTCCGCGTCCACTGAAACCGCGCGTGCGGTATGCAATCCAAGACTCTCATGAAGGGGCTGCTCAATATCATGCAAAACGTCGAGTCGACTGAGAAAAAGGTTCACCGATACTTGCATGAAAGCATGAGAAAGCTGACGAAGGATGCGTTGTGGATAACTATGTTTCAGACTAAGCTTCTGGTTTGTGCTGAACTGTTCACGACGTAGCAGTGCGTATACACAGTACTGCAGCTCTGTTAGTTGACCCAGCATCGATGTCGTGGCCTCAGTATCTCGAAAGGTTTTAGCGTTGGCTTGACATATTGCCGCGATACGAGCCTCACAAGTATGACAGTGCTCTCCTAAATCGTCCTCCAGCGCTTGTGCGATTTCACGATAAAGTGGAATCTCCTGAGCAGGTTCACACTCAACAAGAGGAAGTGTACTAATGTACAAATTGCTATTACCCCTACTCGTCTGCGTAAGGACATGGTAACGGCCACCCTCTACGTGAAGTCCATACACTGTCTCTCCAGAAGATATGGTGTAGGACTTCTTCGTGGGGTAGGTCTGTCCAATCCCATCCCCATCCACATGGCAGCGTAATTGGATAGAGCCGTAGTGCACTAAAGATTCATTCTGTTGAATATAACAATAACTCAAAGAAAGAACTCGACTTTCGGAAACCACAAAAAGATCCTCTATCGGCATCGATACATCATTCAGGCATGCAAGTTTACCGATGTACAGTAAGGTAAACTCGATATCCTCAGACGCACTCACATCATCTTGCTCCCCACTCCTCTCCGTGATTCCTTTGACATCGGTGTCTTGGCAGGAAAACGCCCCGATATGACCATCCTCGTAAACCACCCACATGTACTGCCTGCCAGACCAAAGCACACGAATCGGCGCGGACTGAGGGATCCCAGCCAATCCGGACAGGCTTCCTGTCTTGAGGATGGCAAACTGAATCGGAGAGCGAGGAAGGCCCCCTCCCGCGACCTCGGCCGTAGGCTCGGAGGACGGGGGAACCCACGCGCGCATCCCGCACAGCGCAACGGTGTTGTCATCCAACACAATCGTTACCTCCGGCTCACCTTCCCGCCCCACCCCCATACACGCGATGGTGCGATCCTCAAACCGCATCCGTTGTTCCGTACAGGCCTGTGGGGCACACGCGCACAAGGTGTCCGAGCTCAGCAGGAATACTGCCAAATACGCCCGAAGTTCCGCGGCATACACGCACTGCATAGGAGAACACCCTCGATTAACATTGAACCTCGCGCTGGTTAAATTGGCCCTGCCAACCTCGTTCTTTAAAGTAACCTCCGCGAGCCGTTGGCGGCCAGAGAAGAAGAGAACTTTTTCGACGGAATCTGCCGCCCGCTCAAGGTCGACCACGGACCCTTTTCCTGGGGGCAGCGATCGGACACGGCAGGCCAGAACCCCATACTCACTCATTGCGGCCGATACGACGCACTCCCTTTCCAGGTTTAACTGAGCCTCAACCTCAAATAACCCCACGAAGGAATGAACGAGAACTCTTGAAGTGAAAGGGTGAAGTTGATCATGGGTAGAAACTGATGGCGCATGTGAACGGTGATCAACCTCATCAATGAATGAAACCACATGGCGACTAGCCCCGGTGTCACTGCTCAAAAATGCAGTGCTCACGGGGGAAGTAGTAATACACCTTCTCCGGATCATATAAGCTATAAAATTCTAACACTATAGTCGTCCCTACTCCCTTCCGTGATCCTTAACTTGGATTTTGTCGTCTCGTGCTTGTTTGTTAGGCTATTCTGATATATATATATATATATATATATATATAATAGTTGCAGCGTATCTTATTAAAATTATTATTACTATTCCTGATCTTGCTGAAATAATCCGTCCTGTGGGTCTTCTCTTACAGCTAAAAAAAAAATCTTCAAGAAAGTTCAATCACCATAAGAAAAGAATAACATGGAAAAAATATGCATATCAGATACACTTAGATTCATCAAAACGATCTAATGAGATCACATTAAGACAAAAATTAATCAATCAAAGGGGTCAATAAAATTCAAAATCAATGGGAAAAAATGGAAAATGTCGCAAAGATACCGCGCTTTTCACGCCCTCCAGATAACTGCACTTCACTAAAAAGAAAGATATACCAGTTCAGTGAAGTCAATCTATGATACCAATGTCACCTTTCCCATTGCCAATCCATTGTTATTCGCTTCTCAGACCGATCGACGCTAACATTGTGGGCCAATCGTAAAAATACTTTTGCGCACTGAATAGCATCCCTGAATGCAGAGTGTGAGGTCTGCATCCGCTGAGCCGCCCCGGGAACTCCAAGATATGCACTCACTCGATCTAAATTAGCCGCGTATTGTGGATAAAGCTGCCGCGCCAACTGCTTAGTGCAGGTGATCGCGTAAAGTGGGTGCCATAGCACCCTATACCCAGCCTGCATTAGACAATTTTCGATAAAGGCACCATCAAATTGTGCGTTGTGGGCAATTAATGGCGGCAAAATAAAGGATTCGTGAGCTGCGTTGGGATCGCCCTTTCCAACCACCGTGGACGCATTCGAGGCCCCACCACCACAACCCGACAGGGCATCACAAAACACTTTAAACTCCTTAGAGACCTCTTTCCAGTCAGATGCGGCCCGCAGTTCCTGATCGGAAAGATGGTGAATCCCTGCGGCGCCGCGAGTCATGCGCACCGTAAGCCGCACCAAACGATGAAAAGTACGACTCCCACGCACCCACTGATCCATCAAACTATTTTCAGAAATGTCTTTTCCACACACCCCACACCCATTCCACCGCAGTTCAACACAGCCTAATTCGATAATTTGGTCAACGTTTGGGGACAATCCTGTGGTTTCGATGTCCACCGCAAGTGCACTAAACGGCTCACTTAACCCAGAACCATCATGTGAACACAGCACGGTATCCCTTAACAGGGCTGGAAGATGATGTGTAGGGTGATTCCGACGCCCATGTAATGAATTTTCCAATGGATTCGATGAAGCCTGACAGAAGATGGGCATTTTGTGCAAGGGTTTGCTTAATTCGGAATCCGTTGGGGATACTTCGGGATAGTTAGAATCCCTATCGCGATCACTTTTGAGGACCTTGGGAAGACATCGAGGGTTTCCTCCTTCTTTGGCCTCAACCTCTGATGGGCATTTAACGGGCAATGACGTTGCCAGCGTATTTGCTGAAAAACTCCGCACGACCGCATGGTCAGCACGTTTCCGTTTAGGACGGTCCTCCTTTGCACGTAAGCGTACGAACTCATCCATGATGAATGCATCACAGTTTCTTGGAATTTAAAAAAAAAAAAAAATTAGGTGCCTCGTCACCTATTTGTGTCATACATGTCCTTTCAAACCAATTAATACAAATCAAACAGTAACCTGGGAAAGCTTTCATTTTATCCGTTCCTCTATCGCTGAGAGGTCGGCGTGGCAAAATAGTTGCTTCACCCTTTTTGAATTAGAAAACATTTTACGATAGTTTTCCAATAATATATATTATCAAAAAGGAGTAAAAAAAATAGTAAGCCAATCACTCAAATAAATTATCACCAGTTGGAATAGTCGTCATTATAATAATAATAATAACATAATGAAACACGGATCAGAGTATCATGGGGAGCAAGCGTAGCTAGCTTAGAGTGATTCTGGTTTGCAAGCTGTCATAAGCCTATATCGTATGATCATACCTTGCCTTTATTCTTCCTACTAATAGAATGACCATGTAGCCCTACTCAGAAACGATTCCCTGGACTTTCAAACGCCTTAGTAGGTTCAAAAACAAAATAGCGCATTAATGATGATTAAAATATTATTCATAAACCTAGTTCTCTAAATTAGTTAGATTTTTGAATGCAGGTGACGGCTCCTGATCACAAGCATAGCTTCACCACAAATAGTCACGATGCACATCCACTGAATCCTCCTACAGGATGTAAAAACAAGCGCTAAGGTGTTTATCATCACCATAATTAATACAACCCCATAACCAAACCGGGAGTCCTTAAAGTGAGCATAGCGTGTTCCGCGAAAATACCAGAAACGCGCTAATAAGCTCGCCTGCGATAAGAGTAATGGGAATGAAAATATCAAAGTACTAACCATTAGCTTAATAATACCACCAAAGCCATTATCAGCCTTCCATCCTTCAGAAAGGAAAGACAGCCACAGAACGGTAAGCATGGAACTGATCATGAAAAAGTACGAGAAGCGGACCCTTTGGATTTTGCTGATAGTGTTTTTTTCATCTACAAGCAGCGCTAACAACAATGAGCAGGACACGTAGAAACTAGATTCACCGTTATTGCACAAGAAGTTCAGCAAATACAGAATGCCAACGGTAAACAGGACCGCACCATTGCACAAAACACTGAGTTGACTGACAATAAATGGCCTTAGCGGTGTACAACCTGAAAGTAGCGGTCTCCCACTCAGACGCGCCCTGAGTAAAATGACAAGAAATAAGTTTATAACAGCCATGATAGACAAAAACCGTGTACGAGCCTCTTCGTGAATCACCAACGCCAGGGACACATCTCCCCCGATGGCCTGGAGAAGCTTCACACGACGAAGGGTGATAAAGGACGCGATGATTCCACAAATAGAAAGTGCATATAAAACCCAGATCTCTATGGACTCCAAACGCCGATAATGTGCAAAATCCAAAACAATAAGATCAAAAAACATCACCAAGCTAACGGTGCAGAAGAGAGGTACTGTGGAAATCGGAAGTAGAGTAGTGATAATTCCAAAAGACAGTACAAGGGCAGTACCGCCCCAGTACAAACCGCGCGGCACCTCCGACAGCTTCCATAAAGGTACGTAAAATCCAAGAATTAATAATAAAATACCCAACGCCGTGGCGTATTGTCCTCTATCTGCAGCGTATAATTTATAGTCGGAGGACAAACTACGGTAATCGGTGATGCGCGTGGGCTGTACCACCAACATCAGAACTCCAACAATCCCGCTGAAGCTCATTAGAGGCACCAGATGTATGAGAAAATCGTAGCGAGCTTTATGTCGAGAAAAGAAACATAGCGTTAAAAGGCAAAATGTCGAGAGACCAGTACCGAACGCGATGTGCAGCAGATCGTCAACACCTATATAGCTTCGGGTGACGAATTCGTATACCGCCCGCTGGAGGTTGCGAATGGTTAAAAGAGACAGAAGTCCCGCAGCTATTGTATAACTACAGATGAACAACTTTGCGTTTCTCACTCTAACACCTAGTCTCCCTTGAATCTCGAAGATGGCGACAATATAGCTAGCAAAGAGGGCTACTACCCATCCGGCGTTTATCTCAATTGCGCTAATGGTTAAAAAATACGAATTCCATTCCATATCGGCTTCATAGTAAGAACCTGTTACCTCGACGAGAAACACGAACCCCTTAGCAACGTAAAACGAGGCTAAAAAAGCGGATGGTGCGAGAGTTAAAACTTCGTTCTTGTACAGGCTCCAAGTCATATAGATACCCACACCGCTTGTAAATGCTACCAGTACCGCAGGATAGGATCCTTCTTCTTTTTGGGAATATAGCACCTCCTCCACAAACGATACCTCGGTAGCGTGTAGAGAGAGAAAGATCGTTAGTAAGACAATGTTATTTTGGAATGAAAAGGCAAAGCTTACCCAGCCTAGAATGTGACTGAACAACACGCCAATCGCAACCGCCGAAGTTGACACTATTGCAGAGCTCCCGAGAACATGCAAATCTAATACTACAAAAGAAAATGTACGGTACATCCACCACAACAGCAATAAACTCGAGAAGACTATATAATAAGCTATCGGACCACCCGCACTGCGATCCATTAAAAACATATTGAATCCAAGAACACCCAATGCCCCTAGAAAGTAAAAAACTCCAGGAGCATCCATCAGCAAGCAAAAAAGCAACGTGACAATCACAACACTAAGAACCGTAGAAATACGCTGCCTTGAGAAATGATTTACCTGTTTGTTTTCACCTGCGGAATCTGCATCAAGCAAGAACTTAGTTTGAATAATCGCATACAGCAAGATGTACAGAGCAAGGAGTAGCACGATAAAGTTAAATGGATATGGTATACCATCAAACAAATATCTATAGCGACAGCGAACGAGGCGATATGCCATCCAGTTGATTACTGAAATGCAAACAAAGACTACGATTTTGAAACGGTGCATACTAATAAGAAGTTCTAGGCCGTATGGATCATATGCAAGACGCTGGTAATCGTCGTCTTCATTTTTTGCATTCTCGGGCACGAGAAACCAAAAGGTGCGAGTTGGGAATGCACAAAGATACCCCACGCCGCTGCATAGCAAGCCAAAACAGTTAAATACGTTTGGAATAAAATTGTCAAAAAAGTTGCTCTGTAAGGTCACATATACTGCAATGGGAAGCGTGAGAAGCAGAAACGTAAATACAATTGATTCTATCCGTTCATTCAGCTGAACAGTCACCAAATCCGTTTGATCAGTGATGTCCTCGTTTGCTTTCTCGTTGATATATCTGTTGTTGTAAGAAGCCTTGCTTTTATCAGGTAAATACTCTCTAGTACTAGACGCAGAATCCTTATGAGGCTCCATTACAAGCTGACGAGCACAGGTAAAGATGCTGTTGATTGGACAATAAAAATAATAGCTTTCGATACACATCACTACCAAAAGCCACAAAGGTGCGCGACGTGAGCCTCCAAGCGCGATGATGCTAGTAAGAAGAAAGGGAAGTGCCAGAATTGGTGCTAGACCCATAACGATACGATCCAGTACACAAATAAACTCAGGGTAGTTCTCCTGCAAATAGCGAAAATGCAAAGCCACTGCTGCTGTGGCTAACGCCAACAACGCACCAACGTCCAGAATCATGAAAATAGGCCCAATGCTGGTAGATAGTGTGTGCAAATTCGACAGAAAAAGAGCGATGCTGAAAAGTAAAGCGGTTACAAAAAGTGCCGCAATTGTGCTACGGGTAAACCCCAGATAATCCAACAAGTAGGTGCAAACCGCGCAACAAAGCAACGTCGCCAGTGAAAAGTACGACAGAAGAGGAACCATCCCAAAGAAGGAGGCCGCAAAGAGAAGAACCAGCTGTTGGGTGTACTGCGGAGACCCCTTGACAAACTCAATGGGCTGGGATTGCCGTAATGAGGGGGGCGGCTCGTGGGGGCACTTCGGGGGGTGGCGTTTAAAAATGGTGCTGGTGGGTGGAAGTGGAAAGGGGGGCTCGCTGGGGGGGGGAGGGGCCTGGGGCTCATTACCGGTCTCATCGGCCGTGGGCTCAAGTCGTGGGGGCCACACCGTCGAGAGCTCGGGAGCACAAAGCCCCCCTTCCCATGGAAATTGCCTTGCCACCTGAGAAGGATGTGGTGGCGGTATTGTATGTTGCTCATACTGCGGCATGGCTCCGTGACTGTATTGGTCATGTAATCCTAAAATTGAAGATGAGGCGTTGGAATGTGAGTTGGAAAAAAAATCTTGCGCCGGTTGAGCGCTTCGCGCAGCCTCGGTTGGGTGATAAACATGGGGATACTGTGAATACCCAGGGCTGTTATAGAGTGGATAGTGAACTCTAGCATAAGGGTTAGGTGCTTGCTCTTGAGATGACTGGAAATTTGGGGGACACGGTGTAACCTGGTACAGCGGGTTGTGTAGGGTTGGTGGTGGTGGGAAGTCTGAATATAGAAGTGCTTCATTTCTTTGCTTCTCATAATCATTATCAGACATTTTCTCAACCTACTATCACAATACCTAAATACTAGAATGAGTATGTATGTGTAAAGTATACACGATATGCACACAGCCAACTGAACTGATTAAGTACGGAATAAAAGATATCGCCTTTGATCCACACCTTGTGCAATCTTGTGAAAAATAAAAAGTAGTATGAAGGACAGAAAAAGAAATGTTATGGAAAATATTTAAACAAAAGTAATTAAAGCAATCGCTGCGTAAGATGTAGTGCGTAGTAAAAAACACATAAATTATGTTGATGTTAGAATCAATAAAATTAACAAAGGGATAAAATAACCCCTTTACCAAGTTACTCGATCTACAAGGAAAGCTTCATAAAGACCACGATTGTACTATCACTTACTTTCGACTGACATTTAATATCGTTATCGAAATCTCACCAATCCCTTATTCGTACATACACAGTACCACTTGTTGTCAATACTAAAAGCACTTGCCATTAATGCATTATTTTCGTATATTTATTAACTTTATTACTAATATCAGTGTTATCTGCCACTCTATGAAGCACATTTTTGTGATTCATTTGCAAGACGCTGTCGCTTGAGCTCCTTCATGCGCTGAAGCTTCTGGATTGCATTGATATCTTCAACTGCAAAGGAAACAATCAGACGGCGTTGGTCTCCAAAAATGGTAGGATTATTGTTGAACATCCGCAGAACATGCAACGCAATGTTATGATTTACGAATTCGATGAAGCCATAGCCACGAGAAACTCCAGCAGAGTTCTTCAAAACCTTAACGTTCTTGATAGGGCCATACTTTCCAAACTTCTCCCGTTCCATATCAGCCTTGTGTGTCTTAAGGTAGTCACGAACCTTCTGAGAAAAGAGACGACGCATATCATTCTCAGACATGGTACGCGGAAGGTTACGCACGCTCAGCCTAGTCTTGCTAACAAAGTAGTTGTTGTTGCGGAGTTGCGACTTTCGCGCCTCGTAGTCATCCTGAATCATCTGTAAGTAACGCGGATGAAGGCCTCGAGCAGCGGTAGTGTCGGGCATGATAAGGCCTTCCTGAAGTAAATAAAGGTTGCGTGGGTCATCAGCAGCAACCTTTGTTCGCTTTTTCTTCTTTTCTAAGGCGCTTACCGCTTCCTGAGTGTCGGAGCGGGTGAGCACACGATGCACCGTAAATTTCGACTCGCGAAGCTCCAAAAAAGGATCCCGAGTAATGTAAGTATCGTTTCGAAGTTTAAACTTCATACGCTTAGCTTGGTGATAAGACATTCCCACTGTTTTTTCTTTGAACTCCTCTCGACTAGATGATGACAACTCTCGAGCGTTCTGTTGAGCAAAATTGAAGATTTTGTCAGCTATCTCTATAGAACCGCAATGAAGAAAGCCAGTCCCAGTGAGCATTTTATTCATTCTATTACGTACCAGTAGAACACGCTTTATCCGACAGAAGTGCTGCGCGAAGTAACTCATAAGCTCATCTTCATTGGTATCGAGAGGAAGATTCTTTAAAAAGAGTTGCGTCTCAAGCGGATCACGTTGATTCAGAAGCTCTTGTTTTTCCTCATCAACATCACTTTGCACCTCAATATCGGGATCCCCATCACCCTTAATGACTCCATCTTCGTCATTTAACCCCTTCTCACTCTCAGCGAGTGCGCCGTTACGCCCCCTCTTACGCCTCGGCAAGTCTACATTGCCGCTACGATCAGATCTTTTAGATCCCGTAGACCCACGATCACGGCTGTCTTTTGTATAAACCTTGGCAATAGCTATTTTCCAATTGGGTTTTTTCTTCTCAAGTTTCGCCTTCATCTTCTTTCGAATTCGCTGCTGCGCCTTTTTCTTGCGAAGCGCTGAGGGCGTTGGACTACGTTTTATGGTTCCCTTTACCATCACTGTCACAATTCCCTCTTCTTAGCTAAACCTAATAAAGGATATTGTGTCAAATATACATATAATATCTTTTTGAAAAATACGCGGACTTTCAGTTTAGTCCAAAGTCAAATTAAATTTACTTTATATATATATATATATATATATATATTTATATTTATCAAAGAGAAAGAAAGAAAGAGATAGATAATAATAAAAAAGGTCAATAAAAAAATATATAAACGGTAGACATAC